GAATATCCTTCCATTTGTTTGTGTTGACTTCAGTTTGTCTCGTTAGTGTTTTATAGTTTTTGGAGTACAGGTTTTTTTACCTTCTTGGTTAAATTTATTCCTAGATATTTTATTTTTGGTACAATTGTAAATGGAATTGTTTTCTTAATTTCTCTTTCTACTGCTTCATTATTAATGTTTAAGAATGCAACCAGTTTCTGTATATTAATTTTGTATACTGTGACTTTACTGAAGTTATTTATCAGTTATAGTAGTTTTGTGGTGGAGTCTTTAGGGTTTTCTATATATAGTTACATGACATCTAAAAATAGTGAAATTTTTACTTCTTCCTTACCAATTTAGATGCCTTTTATTCCTTTTTCTTGTCTGATTGCTGTGGCAAGGACTTCCAATACTATGTTGAATAAAAGTAGTGACAGTGAACATCCTTGTCTTATTCCCAACCTTAGAGGGAAGGCTTTCAATTTTTCCCTATTGAGTGTGATATTGGCTGTGGGTTTTTCATATAAGGCCTTTATTATATTGAGGTATGTTCTTTCTAAACCTAATTTGTTGAGGGGTTTTATCATGAATAAATGTTGTACTTTGTCAAATGCTTTTTCTGCATCTGTTGAGAGGATCATAGGGTTCTTATCCTTTCTCTTCTTTACATGACATATATTGATTGCTTTGAAATGTTGAACCACCCTTGCATCCCTGGATTAAATCCCTCTTGATTATGATGAATTATTTTTTTTCGTGTATTGTTGGATTTACTTTGCTAATATTTTGAGGATTTTTTTAATCTCTGTTCGTCACAGATATCAGTATATAATTTCCTAATAACAGTAGGGAATTTTAACACCCCACTTACATCAATGGACAGATCATCCAGACCAAAAATCAGCAAAGAAACAATTGCTTTGAATGACACATTGGACTAGATGGATCTAACAGATATATTCAGAACAGTCCATCCAAAACCAGTACAATACACATTGTTTTCAAGTGCACATGGAACATTCTCCAGAATAGACGAATCACAAGAAAAAATCTGGAAAGAGCACAAATACGTGGAAGCTAAATAACATGCTGCTAACCAACAAACAGGTCAAGCAAGAAATCAAAGAGGAAGTTAAAAAATACATGGAGACAAATGAAAATGAAAACACAAAGGTCCAAAATCTTTGGGATGTGGCAAAAGCTGTTCTAAATACAAGCCTACCTCAAGAAGCAAGAAAAATCTCAAACAACCTAACCTTACACTGAAGTGTAAGGAGCTAGAAAAAGAACAACAAAGAAAATCCAAAGCCAGCAGAAGGAAGGAAATAATAAAGATCAGAGCAGAAATAAATGATATAGAAACTAAAAAGCAATAGAACAGATCAATGAAACCAGAAGTTGGTTCTTTGAACAGGCAAACAAAATTAATAAACCTTTTGGCAGACTCATCAAGAAAAAAGGAGATAGGACTCAAAATCAGAAATGAAGGAGGAGAAATAACAACCAACACCACAGAAACACAAAGGATTATAAGAGAATATTATAAAAAATTATATGCCAAAAAATTGGACAACCCAGAAGAAATGGATAAAAGCCATATAACCTCCCAAAACTCAATCAGGAAGAAATAGAAAATTTGAACAGACCAGTTACTAGCAATGGCATTGAATCAGTAATCCGTGAACTCCCAGCTATAAATAAAAGTCCAGGACCAGATAGCTTCACGGGGGAATTCTACCAAACATTTATTTTTAATTTTTTTTAAATGTTTGTTTATTTTGAGAGAGAGAGCTGGGGAGGGGCAGAGAGAGAAGGAGAGAAAGAATCCCAAGCAGGCGCCACACCATCAGCACAGAGCCCAACACAGGGCTTAAACTCACAAACTGCAAGATCATGACCTGAGCCAAAATCAAGTCAGACACTTAACTGACTGAGCCACCCAGGTGCCCCAACATTTAAAGAAGAGATAATACCTATTCTTCTCAAACTATTCCCCCTCCAAAAAAATACATAAAAGAGGAAGGAAAGCTTCCACATACATTCTAGGAGGCCAGTAATACCCTGATACCAAAACCAGATAAATACACCACACACAAAAAATGTTTTTCTTTTTTTTGCATGTTAGTGAAAGCAGTCATGATGACTCCACCACAAAACTACTATAACTGATAAATAACTTCAGTAAAGTCACAGCATACAAAATTAACATACAGAAACTGGTTGCATTCTTAAACATTAATAATGAAGCAGTAGAAAGAGAAATTAAGAAAACAATCCCATTTACAATTGTGCCAAAAATAAAATAGGAATAAGTTTAACCAAGAAGGTAAAAAAAACCCGTACTCCAAAAACTATAAAACACTAATGAGAGAAACTGAAGTCAACACAAACAAATGGAAGGATATTCCATGAGGCTGACTCCTACAGTGATGTGTGGAGTAATCTGGCAGTGCAAGCCTGCAGAGAGATGGTTGGATCTTGCTCACCCCTGCTGGCAGCACCTGCCACGCCAGGTGCCCAGTGCCCAGCGCCCACTCCGGTGTCCAGACTTCCCACTCGTTGGACTTCAGTTGGAAGATGCAGAGTAAGTCCAGGCTCAGCCACGTACCCGCTGTGCTTCCTAATGGCACCCACCCACCCTTGTCGCAGTATCCTGACCTGCCTGCTGCCCAGGGAGTCACAGGTTGTGGTGGAGACAGAGGATGTGGGCCTGTCTGCGCTCCCTCCAGAACACGTGCTCAGCTGCCTGCCCTCCGGGGTGTTTCAGGTCAGAGGTCAGCGGCCTTTGGTTGTTGCAGAGCTGCTCAGTACCACACTGCCCCCACTGCGCTGGAGCTGTGGAGGAACAGCTGTGCCAGCTAGACTTCCTTGCCCAGCACACGGGGAGCGTGGCTGCATCCAGGCACCTGAGAAATCTTTCCTCAGGCCAAGGCTCTCCAGCCATGTGTTCTCAGAGTGTAGGGGAGCTGGGCAGAGGGTTAGGGAAGGACCAGGGACTTTGATGCATGCTCTTTGTGAATCTTAAAACTTGGTTTGTGATTCAGGTAGTGCCTGTCCATTGGTTCTAAGAGAAGCGGGGTGTGGAGGGGAAGCAGCTAATCTCTCTGAAGTTAGCAAAGCTTCTTGTCTGAAGGAGAGTCTGTGCACTTCTTCAGGGACGTTTCCACCCCAGGGTGCCATGAACCCCTGATGAGCCATGCTTGAAATCCACTCATCTGTTCCAGACACATTATGTCATAATTGAATCAAGTGATCCCAGACAAGTGAAATGAGTGTACAGTTTAATCATTGGAGATCAAGGTGGGCACCCATGTGTCCTGATTCCTGGTGTAGTTATTTCCTTACAATCCCAGGCTATACGTGTCTTTCGCCATGTCATATCTTTAGTGCTTTTTGTAATAATTTTAAGCCAAATCCCAAAATTAATAATATAGTTAGCATTGCTTGTATGTATGTGCATACACCTTTAATGTTTTTAGATCATAGCTACGCCAGGACTTTTTCAGTGTACATATGTGTTAGTAATTACAGCATATTTCTGAAGCCAAGCAGAACATCTGTTTGTTTTTAACATTATATCGTGAAGAACATTTGCTGTAAGGACATTTATCACTTTTTTTTTAATGGAATTAAAATGTCCTATCCAGGACATGATGAAATTTCAAGGCTGAACATGTTCATTGCTAGACATATTTTATATTTTAAGTTGTAAAATCAAAACTACAAGTGTCTTCCAACTTAAAAGTAAAGCTTCCATCAGTCAGTCTGATTTTCATCCTTCCTAGAGAATCTGTTCGGTCAAGGTGTTCCAATTGCACAGTGGGCTCGTACTGTGTGCCTGGGCCTCGTGGCACTCCAGGGCTGGCGGGGGGTCGGGGGGGGGGGGGGAGGAGCAGCATCCCACTGTGACTCATGGGACCCGCACACTTCCGGGCCCAGGCAGAGGGAGCTGAGGACCCTAGCGTGCTTCGCCACCGCCCCACCTTTTCTGCTGACCTCATTGCACCTTATCTCCCCAACCACACCGTGTGTTCCCAGAGAGTACAGACCTGCCCAATTCTGTTTATTCCCGGTTCTCTAGAACAGCATCTGGAACACAGAGTAAAGTCAGAGTGAGAAATAGGTGCAGGAATGGCACAGTGTCCATCTGCATTGTTCCAGGGTGCACATTCTGCCGACTCACCTTAAACTTTGCTCCCTAGACTGCCTTCAACAGGTTATTCAGTGCACTTACGTTCACGCAGCAAGAAGCTTTAAAGGTTCTTGTCAAAGGAATGAATAACTGTATATTCTTATTTTTACCTGTCTCCTCCATTCAACTTGGCCAGTTTAAATTAGTAATGCTCCTACTTTCCTAAACTGCTTATAAGTCCCAACTTTTTGTTCCCTAAGATTCTGCTTCTGCTCTTAGCCACCTGGCTTAAGCCTCTGCCCTTGGTTCTAACAGTCTTCATCATATTATTATTCTTGTTCATGTTATAATCTCAAAATCCTAGCTAGTATGAGAGGGTACCTAGAAATAAGGGCTCAGAAATAAAATTAGCTTGGGATGCCTGGCTGGCAGTGGGTGGAGCCTGTGACTCTTGATCTCGGGGTTGTAAGTTCGAGCCCCACATTGGTTGTGAAGATTACTTAATAATTTTTTTTTAAGAAGGAAATAAAATTGTCTTGAATAGGATATATCAAACTCATATCTGAGAAAGTTAGGAAATAGCTTTGGTGAATATGCTGGTGGCTGTCAATTTTATATAAAAGGTAGGTAGTAAGTACACTCACCTGAGTACCACATTTCCTGGATAGTTTTCATTCCTCTCTGGTTCTCATGACAGCCCTCTAAGTGGAACCAGAAGCTCCCCCAGGTGGCAAAACCACTATTGAAAGATTAGGTCACTGAAGTTTGAAAAGTTAGAGTAACCTGAATATGAGTTCCTAGACACAAAGCTGAGAGCAGCGAAAGAAGTCAGCACAGTTTCTGTATGTGTCCTTTATAAATTGTTCCAGAAATAACAGACAAAAGATCATTACATAATAAAAATTTTAATACCATATGGTTTTGGCAGGTTCTAGTACATAGTAAATACTAATAGCTTTATGTTAAATTGAACTGAATAAAAGTATACTTTTGAGCACATTGAAAGAAGGTAGTTGCTAACAGTAACATTGGAGCAAAAATTTTCAAAAATGCATGCCTTAGGGTTTATATTTATAAGGTATAGTCAAGGACAATGAACATATTTTAAGCAAAGTCCACTACTTTCCATAAAATCTTTTGATCTTGAATAAAGAATAATGAGGGTGATCTTAAAATATTGTTTAATTTTTTAAACTGACACAGAAATTTTAGATTATGTAGTAAAGTTTCAAAAATAGTGTAGAACTCACATACGCCCTTCTCCCAGCTTCCTCTAATGTTAATAAGCAGTATATAACAATACTACAGTCCTCAAAACCAGGAAAGTAACATGACAGGAGTGTTTTAATTTTACACATGTGATTAAAAAAGGAACTAAGCAAACCCAATCACTAAGTATATTTATACCAATAATTGTAGCATAGGATCTTATAGAAAATACTAAATTATTTTAACAGTAGGATAATAAACAGAACATTAATTTGTAAGTTCCACCTATTTTTTTTTTTTTTCCTGCCATGCACTTCTTGGTCTCGAACCATAACACATGTATTTTTTAAAGGGACTTAGAGCCTAGCCTAAAGCAATACTCAGGTCGGTTGTAAAGGACATTCTTATTTTGCTCCAGATTTTCCCAGTCTAACTCAGCAGCGAGTAAGATCCTGTTCTCTTGAGGAAAGTTGCAGGAGGGGGCTTTTTTCTAGAGTGTGAAGCTGCACTTTCACTAAGACTGCTGGAAAACTAAACTCAGGGTGTGTTTTGGTTGTTTCTCTGTGGGCTGGGTCTCACTTATTGATGACAGATGCTACTACAACAAATACAGGAGTATGGTTTGTAAGTGATGAACAAAAACTTGGAATTATGTGATATTTTGTGGTTTAAGAACTATACTTGAATATGATCTTATGCATGAAAATGCATAGGATGATATTTCTCTTGTTTTAATATAATTGTTTTCAAGATGAAGGTGTTCCAGGGTTGAATCGCCATCTTCTTCAGCATTGCAGATTTGTTCTGGAAGAATGTTCCTGAGGAAAAATAGATGTACAAGCCATAAATGGTCCAAGTAGTATTGAGCTTTATGTAACTTAGTTAAATTTCACATTTTTTTTTTAATTTTTTTTTTTAACGTTTATTTATTTTTGGGACAGAGAGAGACAGAGCATGAACAGGGGAGGGGCAGAGAGAGAGAGGGAGACACAGAATCGGAAACAGGCTCCAGGCTCTGAGCCATCAGCCCAGAGCCCGACGCGGGGCTCGAACTCACGGACCGCGAGATCGTGACCTGGCTGAAGTCGGACGCTTAACCGACTGCGCCACCCAGGCGCCCCAAATTTCACATTTTTAAAAAAGTTTTGGTGCTCTTCCTTTTCAAGTACCAGAGAGTATATAACATGGTTGAAGATAGAATATAAGTGAATTTTAGCAAAAAGTGTAAAGGAACATCAGGGGGACAGGTGAGAGAATTTCCCAAAAAACTTTTATTTTCCTAAAAAATTGTTTTAAGGAAACAAAAAGGCAAATTCATTCGTTTCCACAATTTGAGTTCTGTATGTCAAAAAGAGCTGGTGTAAAAGTATTGAATTTGAGGGTCAAATGAGTTTCCATTTATTATCACGAGTGTTCATGGTACTTGCAGTCTCGTGTTTCCTAACTCAGCCCACAACTTTAGTCTTTGTGGCCACATTTAAAGACATAATGAATCTATTAATATGAGTCTTGGCCTTGACTGTCGTATCTAGTGGATGGATCTTTATGATCAAAGCTATCCTCACATTTTTTATCTCAAACTTGCTGGTGCTCTTGTTGAAGATACTGAGTGTTCAACAAAAAGAAATGTCAGTGGTATGTGGAAGTCAGGCCAACTGTTTATATGAACTACTTACACACTTGTTGAAATTCTGCCCTTTATTTTCAGCCTGGTTTTCTTCGTGTCTAACATTGACCCCTGTTCTCTGGACAAGTGTTTCATTTCATGAAGGTACAAAGGAATGCACACAAAATGACAAATGCTATTAGAGCCTCTCTTAAATGATAGCTTTGAAATTTGAGGACATTCCTTCAGGATGTCTGTCAGAAAGGAAAATGAGCCTTAGAAAAGACGTTAACTTAGTTGATAGAATTATTTGAGGGAAATCATCTTGTGAAGAATCATCTCACTTCTGTGAGAAGAACTTTGTGTTGCTCAAGGGTCATTCATTATCGCTAGGTTTGGCAGATGAGTTGGTTGTTGTCTTTGATAACTTGGCAAAAATAAGCTGGAAGTTAGGAGATCAATTCTGGTATTAAAGAGTTAGTTTCACGTTGTTGTATTGTTGGGCTCAGCCAGGACCCCAGGGGCTATTTGATAATTCTGGGGTGTTTATCACAAATCCATTTTCACTACCCAGGTTATGCTTTTATCTATGTGTCAGTGGTTCCAATGACTAATGCTGGGTATACAGCAAAAAATGGCATAGTTTTTATAAGGAGTTCTTAATCATTTTGAAGAACAACAATTCTTAAAATTTTTAGGGAAGTAATGTGCAGTCTAATTAAATGATTTCCAAATTACATTTGCTTAATTGTTTTTGTTTAAAAAAATTTTTTTAATATTTACTTATTTTTGAGAGAGAAAGAGACAGAGTACAAGCAGGGGAGGGGCAGAGAGAGAGGGAGACACAGAATCTGAAGCAGGCTCCAGGCTCCGAGCTGTTAGCACATCTGACAGCCGAAGTCAGACATACAACCTCCTGAGCCACTGAGGCGCCTCCTCCCCAATTTTAAAAAAATAAAATAAAATTGGATCTTTTTCTTATATGCTAGAAAAAATTTTAAATACATCAAAGACCTAAATGTGAAAAATGAAGAACTAGTATACCCTAGGAGCAGGGGGAAAAAAAAAATCCCCTTGTGACTCAAAAATCAGAAGCACTAAAAGAAAAGATTAATAAAGCGACTACAGGTGTTTTAAAAATGCAAAATTAAAAGACAAATGGCAAACTAGGAGAAAGCTTTTGCAACTTATATCACAGATATAGGGCCAGTGGACAGAGACCTCCTAAAAGCCCCTGCAGAAAAAGGAGAAGTGAGGGAAATGCCCTGGTAACCAGCCCACCAGAGAAAAAATGAAATGACATAAACATGAAGAGATGCTTAGTTTCATTCATGACAAGAGAAATGCACGTTGAAAGTATCCTGGCACAGCACTGTCACTTACCAGATTTGCCTCACAT